CAGAGAGAAGCGAAAAAATATAAAAACTGAATTTTTAAAAGATAGAAAGATGCAAAAAATTTTCTTAAGGGTCTCAGTTCAGAAGGCTTGCATTTAGAAAAGTAATCAAGACCCGGGGACAAATCTTGAAACAAATTTTGGTAACAAATCTACAACCACCAACTTTTATTTTTTGCAAGAAGGTATCCATCTAAATAGTGAATTATATTTTACTAAAAATATGGGTAAACTTGAACCAATTTATCAAAGCTAAGAAACAATTCAAAACAATTTATTTACAAATACAAACAACAAAATATACAGTCGTGGAAAAAAGTATGGAAGCGCTAGAAAATTTCTTTTTATTTTTTAATTTTTTATTCAAAAAATATGTTCTATATACCAATCGAAAGCTCTATTCGTATCTCAGTTGACGTGTTTCTGCATTTTTCATGAAAATGAAAATTGGCCGAGATAATCCGGATCTACCGGATATACCAAATCCCACTTTTTCGGAAAAATTTTTCGGAACAAATTTAACAAACCCAAATGATAAAGCATATTTTTCTGAGTATTTTCCACAAAACCGCTTAGAAATATCTTTTTCCGGAGCAGAGATATGATTTTTTGAAAATTGCATTTTTCGTCTATTTTTGCAAAAAATTCAATTTTTAAGCGAAAAATGCCATTTTCAAAAAATCATATCTCTGCTCCGGAAAAAGATATTTCTAAGCGATTTTGTGGAAAATACTCAGAAAAATATGCTTTATCATTTGGGTTTGTTAAATTTGTTCCGAAAAATTTTTCCGAAAAAGTGGGATTTGGTATATCCGGTAGATCCGGATTATCTCGGCCAATTTTCATTTTCATGAAAAATGCAGAAACACGTCAACTGAGATACGAATAGAGCTTTCGATTGGTATATAGAACATATTTTTTGAATAAAAAATTAAAAAATAAAAAGAAATTTTCTAGCGCTTCCATACTTTTTTCCACGACTGTATATTACATGCAATAGAAAGAATATATGGGGGTATATGGACTAGGAACAATATATAGGGACATAACAAAGGAACAATATACAGAATATCTCATTTTTACATCTCAAGCGTCACCTTCAGAACTTCCGGGCACAGGATATATCCCTAATATCACTTCTTATCATCAATGCTGGCCCCGGGAAGCAATGGCTTATCAAAGATCTTTGACTCTCCATATTCAATCGCAGTTGTCGTTCCATCGATCACTTCGAACGGATTGATGTTCCTTTCCTGAAATATAAAACTGACTAGTTGACATTCACAAAATATTTTTCACCATCTTCCATTCCTGGAAACTTCCAACGCCATCATATCCCTTTTTAGTCAATTCCGGAGCATATTCGCGATCGTAGATCTCTTTGTCCCTATGCTTCACAAACTCGTCTACGAGGAACTGCAACTTGTCTTTGATCTTCTCCTTCTTTGCCCTATTCCACATTGCAACTGCCAATGTTTCAATCGGAACGCAATTGAATACTGACCCTGGGTCGTCCAACTTTTTCTGAAAAATTGGGAAAATAATTTTTTTAGTAAATATTTTTTAATTTCTAAACTCACTTCTTCCTTCCATGCCGCAAATGTCTTGATCCTCTCCCCAACTTGTGGTTCAGCTGAGTACAGGCCATACAGGTACTGCTCATACTTGGTACAGGTCATACATTCTTTTTCGCAGCTGTGTTTCCCCTTCTTCCAGGACCGTGTGAACCATGCCAAGATTCCAATGATGATTAAGCCTTCAACAATAGCAACAACCAAAATCAGATAAAACAGCCATCCTTTGGACTCTTTCGGGCACTTACTCTCCGCTGGACACTTTAACGCTGGTGATGAGATGTTTTTGGCCGTAATTGTTGTAATTACTGAAGTCGACGATGGACAAGGAGCACACGTTGAAGTTTCAGGTGTTTCCGGATCCGTTGGAAAACTTTTTGTAGTCGATATAGTTGTCGTCGTTGTCTGTGGCGGAAGAGAGACAAACAGCAGCTCGTAGTTATTTCTGTCCTAAATCAAATAAATTTAATGAGGTTTTTACAGAAAAATAATGTAGAAACTCACAAATTGAACGAAGAGATTACAATGCGGTCCGGGTGGTGGTGTACCCGCAAAATTTGCTCCATCATGTGTTCCAACAGATGCATTCACCGGAAGCATGCTGAAGACGAGTAGACGTCTATTAATCAGATTCTCATTTGTGATGGTCCATGTTTCTGGTTCGACGATGGGATTGTTCTCTGGAACGCAGAGTACATTTTTCGAAGCCTTGAATGAGTTCGGGCCCATCTTGAATTTGCCTACGCCTTCAACCTCCATGTCGAAGGTTACTATTTCGTTTCCACCTTGAGTTATACGCAGCTTTTCACCAAGCTCAACTTCACCAACTGAAAGGACAAAGGTAAATAAATGTATCAGTAATCGTTTTATTTTACCTAGATGAGTGTATGCATAGACATCTCCACCAGACTTGCTCCATGAGATTTCGAGAGTCGTCCACGGCATACATAATCCACACTGTTGTTTGTTACATTTATCCTCGTGATCATAGATTGGACCATAGCTGAGCCTTTCGACGACCTTATTGTTTTTGCTGTAGACGAACGGCATACTAAAAGGCAGAAATCAAATTTTTCAAAAATTCAAAACCTACATATTATTAGAGCTGTACTTAACATGGACGGCATTCTTAAGACAATTTTTGAGCTCTCCTCCTTTGTTCCTCACTCCAGCCTTGAACTTGATCTTGTTGTTGTAGTCTTTGTTCTTGATGAGCAAGTCCACTGTGCATCCACTGTTGTTGTACTGAAGCTCACTGGAAAAGAAAACAATTTGATCTTAAGTAAATCTTTGAAAAAAAGCAAACTTACATGGTTTTGCTGCCGATCTTAACATCACATGCTTTCGGGAAGCGCTTCCTGTACTCGTCGGAGTTGAAGTTTGTCTCGTTAGCTTCGATGGTGTAGTCGACGAGCGTAACTTTATCTCCAACCTTTTTGTGATTGGCGACTCCGACGCTTCCGTCATTGTTGGACTGTCCGGGTACTTCAAGCACAAGGAATGTTGCGATGACAAGCAGCAGCAAGGAGCACAGCGTTGATGACTTCCTTGTTCCAGGGCCGGTGTCGAGCTCCATTGGAAGAAGGCAGCGAACGAGCATGAAGAGTGTTGTTGCTAATGTTTTGATCGTAGAGATGTGAAGATTGTTTTTTAGAGGCTGTTGCGGGTGAAAAAAATTGGCGGCTTTTATAGAAACCGCTTTACTATATTTCAAAAACCGCTTTACTATAAAAACTTGTAAAATCCTCAAATTAGCCTCGATGGTGTAGGATAGATTTGGATAGCTGCACATTGAACTTAGCGAAAGGATAAACCAGCTTATTTTAACTATTAGTTGCTCAGATTGATACCAGAATACAAGCTATACAGTAGGCAGCAAAGGTTCCAAAATTGTCTGTTGAAGCTTGTATTAAATCATATAATTAAAAAATCCTTTCAAGTTTGTAAACTTAAGTTGATTGTCCACTTGTTTTTGCTAATTCAAGTTTATTAAGTTGGTCAAGTTTAACTAATTTTGTTTAAAGTTTAAGCTCAAACTTTACCACTCAAACTTAACCAAGTTTAAGCTTAAGCTCAAACTCATACGCTTAAAACATTTTTAAGTTTGTAAACTTAAGTTTTTGTAATCAAGAATTAAACTTTGTTTTTTCTTCTTTTAAATCAAAACTTACCGACTCATTTAAGCCATTGATATTTTTACTTTTTTTATTTTACTCATGGCTATTCTCGTAATATTCTTAAATATTTGCAAGGAAACCTGATATGCTTTTTAATATTTTATTTCTATTGATTTAAAATTTTTTTTAATTCAGTCTTCTAAAGATCACTTCCTCAAATAAATGTCAAATTATCTAGAATTGCTCCTCACTTTTTGATACCCTCTAGGCTGCATAATGAGGTCGAGTCAAGCTTGTTAAGTAGAGGGCGAGCTGGATCTGGATCAGACCTTGATTTTTACTGTATCCAGAATCCAGATCAAGGCATTTTTCAGAGTTCCTTGATTTTTTGTTGACTCAAGGTCAAGAGTCTGGTCAAGGTTTTTTGAAAATCTCGCTCTCTATTGTTAAGTTGGTCAAGTTTAGCTTGTAGATTTTTCCAAGTTTTCAAGTTCAAACTTAAATCACATACTTAAAAGATCTTTTCAAGTTGTAAACTTAAATTTTTAGATATACCTAGCTAATGTTGTTCCCCCCCCCCTTTAGTGGCCTATCAAATTTTTTAAATTAGACACTCCCTAAATTGAAAATTATCACATTTTAGACGAATTTAAACGTAGACGACTGTTAAAATTTAAAAAACTAATTTTTAAATTAATTTGGAGTTCCCCCCCCCCTTTTAGTGGCCTATCAAATTTTTTAAGATTAGACACACTTTAAATTGAAAAGTACCAAATTTTGGGCAAATTTAAAACTAGACGAATATTAAAATTTAAAAAGTTAATTTTTAAATTAATTTAGACTAAACTCAAGTATCTAATAGAGTTCAAATTATTATTTTCTATTCACTTTCTTTCTATCAATCATTCCTTTCCATCATCTCTAATCATTCCCTCCACTCTCATTTTTAATTTTTATCAATTTTGTTAGCCTTATCAATAATTATTTTTACTCAAATATTTTATATTTTCTATATTAGAACGGGAAATGTAAGAAAAATGTATCAAGGTATGTTGAAACTCTTGAAGAAAAACAAGAGGGATTGTCTGTCTGATTATTTTGTTTTTTTGTTTTTATTAATTAATCCTTAATTATCTTAATTTTCCTTTTTTATCAGCAAATTCCTCCAAAAAAATTTTTTAAAGCTTCAGACACATTTTCAGACACAATTTACTTTTTATTTAAAACAAATACCTTCCTTTCTCCCTAAAATGAATTTAATTTAATTTTTGATTAATTAATTCCTGATTCAATAAAAATTTAAAAGGCTCCAATGTCTCTTCATTATTCCCTTCTTCTCGGTAGACAAATTTTCAAAATTAAAAAAAAATTTCAAAATTTAATCCAGGCCTTAGTCTCCTCCTCTTTCCTCAATTTACAGAATCCAATGAACTTTCCCGTTGTTGTTCTGGAGGTTCTAAACACTTTAAAGAGCATGGAAATTGTGTTTCTGTTAGAGCTGGTTTATTAGAAATTTTATAAAAAAAATTTTTTCCAACCTCTTCAAGTTGGTTCTTCCCATTCCTGCAATAGAGCAGGTTCAATTTGTTGTCTCCGTTCATTAATTGACGCCTCCTGTCAAGCCGGCCTTCTATACGCACAGAGGCATAAAGTTTGTTCTGCTGTGAATATAAATGAGCTAGCTGGTGGGGTTAAAAGGGTGAGCCGTTAATCTAAATAAACACAGGCGGACCTCAATTATAGAGACAAACCTTTAAATCCCTCACTCACAGATTCACCATGTAAATTAAAAATACGGCAATTATTTGGGAGTAAAGTTGAGGGAGCTCCTCCATCAAGTGATAACCTTCCACCAATAAACAGAGCCAGGTTGTGGCTGGAAAAATAACCTCAAATAGAAAGAATCTCTTATTTGTGGGGCATAGCTCCTTAAAACTTCCTAAAAAGCTCCCTAAAAATCTTCCTAAAAATTTATCCTAACCCGGGTTGGTTCCATCAGTCTGTGTCCGTTTGTATTTTAATAGATAACCTGGCACTTGAGAGCTTTTCTTATTCCAGGAATGTTGTGATTGTTGTCTGCTTGCAAAAGAATTATCTGAACGTAATGAAGCATGTATCGCTCCAATCGGGTTTAGCCCTGATTGTTTGGAGGCTTTTAATAAATGTTGTAATCAAACAATAGCAGCTAATAAACCTTCCTTTATTGGTTGTTCTTTTAAATTAAAAAAATAATTTTCTCGTAAAGGTTCTTCCCAAGTTCAAAGCGTAGGCCTTTCAATTGACCTTGAAGGTGTCGGAAATAGTAATTTGAATAAAATAAACCCTAAAAAGGTGACATTTTAATTTTATTCAGCCTCGAGCTGTTCAAATGCAAAATGTGAACATTTATGTACCATTCGAGAAGATGCAAGTTTAAAATCTTTATTTACCCTAAAAATAGCCTATAGATTAAACTTAGAGTTTGGACTAAGACGAAAGCTCCAACAAAAATTTCGGTTATCGATATCGAGATTTTTTGAGATCTCAATTCTTCTACGTCTCTCACAGTTCAATCTTTGAGAGATTAGACTCTCTCTCTCTGATAGATAGGCTCTCTTACAGTCTCTCACGGTCCGGTCTCTCATCAAAATTTTATTTTTAGGGTACTTCACAATGTAGTTGTCGTTCAGGTTTTGATTTAGCCCCCGATGGACGTTCTTGTGTCGGTATGTTAATTATTTGTTTGTTAATCAACTCAATATCCATACATCTGCTTTTCTCCCTTCATTTCCCTTCATTTACACATTTCTATTTTTTACAAAAAATTCTTTATCCCAAATATTCACCCTTTCCCTAGCTCTATATTCATTTTATTCGTATACGATCTTATGAAAACAGATATTGACGAATGTCACCAACTACAGCAGAACAATCCAAATAATTTCCAATTCAATTCACCTCCCTTAAACTATCAAAAAATGCCTTTATGCGATTTCAAACGCGAAATATGTGTTAACATAATTGGCGGATATGGGTGCCGGCCTGCTAAAAGTATTGCTACTTCAAAATATAGGGAGCCAAAATTGAGCCCAAAAACTCCAAAAAGAGGTCCACAAAGGGCCAAAAATAATGGCAGATTTGTCTACAAAACTGTTGGCAATAGAGGAAAAATGCCTGCATTCTGGTCAGGTCGAAATGGAGGAGGAAGGGAGGAACATGCATCGACTACTTTTATTGGTTTGTGGTTGCTGAAGAATAAAATAAAAATTAAGCACTTAATACAGTCTAGGTACATTCTTTAGGGATGAAAAATTGTACCTTAGAATGAGGAGTATTTTTTCAAGGGATTAAGCATTTCATTGCACCCACGGCCAACCAAATTTAAAACGTCCTTAAAGGGAGGTTTATCTAATATTGGGTTTTATTGTGAGTCTCTATTTCAATGACTTCTCGCTTGCGTAAATCTTCTCAAGTCCTCTCAGGCGATTTACCTTGCATTTTTTGCAAAAAATGTTGCGTGGTTAAATAGCATTTGTTGACACGTACTTGTGGACAGCTAATTAAAATTTTGTTTGAAAATTTTCCTTTTCTTTATTTTTATTTTCTTCTAATTTTATGCTTTGTTCTTTGCTTTTCTTCTAATCACCTCCCCCTTAATTAAATTTTTAAACTAATCCATTTAAATAAAATCCTTTGTTTTGCCCTAAAAGACATAGATGAATGTCTCAGTCACGGATTTGCCCTCTGTTCTGAATTTAATACTCAATGCCTGAATTTACAAGGAACGTTTTCTTGTGTTTGTTCTACTGGATTTTATTGGAGTGATGCCGGGAATGTTTGTGTTGGTTTGTTTGTTTTGCTTACCTAACTTTCCTGTTACGCAAAAATTTCGTTAATTAATCTTCCCTAATTTTGCTTAAATAAAAAAGAGAGATTCATTTTTCGTGTTTCATACCCCTTGAAAATTTTTTAAAAATTATTCTAGGGTTTAACTCCTAAAATGTTGAAGGTTTTTTACTTTTTTGGTTTTAATTAGAGACCAAACCGAGACGAGATCTCGATCGAAAATCGAGATTCTCGTACGAAAATTTTTTTGAGATTTATCAAGCTCTCGCTCTCGATTCTCGTACGACACTCCCATCCAGTTTCTAGTTTTAATTCCATTGTCCAAATTTTGGAAGTTTTTGGATTGTGTTCCTTCCCATTTTACCCACTTTCCCCTTCCTACCCACTTTCCCCTCTTGAATCCACTTTCGTTTCCCGGATGTTCCCTTTTTTTTAATTTTCGTAATCCTGCTTAAACCAATGCAAAAACTTTTTATTATTTAAAATAACAATTAAAAAAATCCCCTCAGATATTGACGAATGTCTTTTGTTGGTAGATGATTGTTTAGAATCCCAACGTTGTTTAAATACAGTAACTAACAATTTTTTTTATTTTTAAAAATTTTGTTTAACAGCCTGGAGCTTACAAATGTATTAGAACAAAGTCTTGTAAGACTAAAAAAATTTTAAAAATAAATAAATCCTAATTTTCGGGTGGAACTGGTTATGCAATGGATAGTGAAACTGAACAGTGTGTTGGTAGGTTATTTATGGAAATTTTGTTTGGGAAAAATTCATTAATATTTTAACAAAATTTTTATTTGTTGTGATTTACTAATTTATTTACGGATTTTATTAAAAGTAAAATTTCAAATAGGAAGTATTTATTAACGTATTTCCTCTAATTGTACGCTCCCTTTATTTTAAACTCTCACACCTCATGAGTAGAACGTTGAAAATTAACAAAATTAGACTAGAGATAAAAGAATGGATCCTTTTAACTAGAGCTCGGATGTTACCGTATTAGACGGTATTTTTCGGTATTTATCGGTATTACGGTACTGAATACCGACCGATAAAATTTTTGAGTTTATCAGTCTTTTTCGGTAATTCAGTACGGATTTTTTCCTAAATTTGCGATAGAGTTTTGAAAGCTTTGATGTTTTATTAGGGAATAATTAGGATTAATTTCTAGGCTTTACTTTAATTGCCAAAAATTCTTTCAATAAAATCATGATTTTATATACTATCAGATGTGGATGAATGCACACTTGGAGCACACGATTGTGGACCTATGTATCAATGTAAAAATACTCAGGGAAGCTTTCGTTGTGTGCCTAAGCGTTGTGAAGATAATCAAGTTTTGGACCCTGGAACTGGGGAACGCAAAGTATTTTTTGGAAAAATAAAAATTTAAATATTTTTTTGTAGTCAGTAAATTGTCCACCTGGATATAGGCCTAGAGATGGACGTTGTGAGGATGTTGATGAATGTAGGGAAAAGACTAATGCTTGTCCTTTTTATGAGGAATGTAAGTTGTATTTAAAGTGTTGTCCCAGTTTAGGAAGGATTGCCGGAAAACAATGTTCCGGTTTTAAAAGTTCCCAGGAACCTCAGAATCATAAATGTGGGGAACTTTTGGTTTTGTGGTGGACGAAAAATCCGCCCTTCTTTACTAGCTTTAAGGAGAGCTTTAGAAGAGCTTCTTTTCCTGGCTTTCTTTCCTCAAGAAAATTACAAAACTAAAATGTTCGTCCATATGTATCTTCTCGGAACTGTCAAAACGTGGAAAAACAGAAACCGTGAAACAGAGGACCCAGTTTTTTTGAGTACCAGAACTGCAATATCCCAGACCTTCCAAATTTTTAAACCCGGATAGCACATAAAGACGAAAATTTATTTGTATTCATCTTTATTCCTTAAAAGGTGTAAATACACCAGGCTCGTTTCGCTGTCAAGAGCAGGGGAATGTGTGTTCTAATGGATATTATATGGACAGAGAGAGTGGATTTTGTCTTGGTTTGTCCTTAGAAATTTTATTGTTAATCTATTTGTGAAGATATTGATGAATGCCAACGTGGAACACATACTTGCACATCCATTGCTGATTGCATCAATCTTCCAGGAATGTATCGTTGCAAGTGTGCTACAGGCTTTGAATTTAATGAATATACAATGTAAAAACATTTGGAAATTGCCTGCACCCGTTTAACTTTAAAAAAGCATTTTTCCCCATTAAGGCGTTGCGAAGACATTGACGAATGTATTAAATTTTCTGGACATGCCTGCTCTTTACAAGCCGATTGTGTTAATTCTATTGGCTCTTATCAATGTATATGCAAGCCTGGATTTAGTTTAGCTGCAGATAATAGAAGTTGTGATGGTAGGGGAAATTAAATGAATTAAATTTGCGGACATATTTTGCGGACAGTTTTTGCGGACTTTTCTTGCGGACATATTTATTTAATTTTAAGATATAAACGAATGTGAGTTGGGTATAGCCAAATGTCAACAAAAATGTATTAACTCACCAGGCTCTTATCAATGCATTTGCGATCGAGGTAATAATTTCCTGAGATACATAAGACCAGAGAATATTTTTAGGGTATCAATTGGGAATAGACGAAGCCACATGTGAAGATATTGATGAATGCAAAATTTGGGCCAAGTCGGGTTGGTAGATTTTGAATTCAAAAAAAAATGCGGACGAAAAATTAAAAAAATATTTTTGCGGACAAACATTTGAGGACTTGATATTTTACTTAAAATAATTAACATTTATAGGAAATGAATTATGTATGGGAAAATGTATAAATACTCCAGGGTCGTTTCTTTGTACATGCCCAGAAGGTTATCAAGTCATGTCTGATGGAATTACCTGTAAAGGTAAATAAAATTTTTGAATTGTTGGGCATTACTGTTGTAGAGGGCAACATATCCGCAAAAATTTTTGCGGATAATCCGCAAATTTTTTGCGGATTATTTTTTATTTTGCGGACTTTTTTATACAACGAATTGATAGTTCTCCTCTTCTACAGTAATCTAATTATTTAACAATCAAAATTTATTTACAGATATTGATGAATGTTCAGAAAATTCAAATCTGTGTAATATCGACCAAATCTGTATTAATTTATTGGGCAGCTTTAAGTGTGAACGGATTGAATGTCCACGTAATTATATTCCTGACAGGACTTTTAAAAAGTAAAATGCATATTTTTTAACTTTTAACAAGTAACTTAAAAGTTCCTGGGAGAATTTTTAATGCCGTTTAATGCCCCCATTTTCCGCGAACAAGTAAAATCCCAAAAGAAACCAACAATGCTAAGAATAAATGAAAAAGTGAGTCAGCCTTAAACGGCATTATTTCCCTTCCGTTTGCCTCTCAATTCCGGGAACTCTCCACCAATTAGTGTTTTATATTCGTGCCTGTATTTCGAGTACGAGTACAAGCAAATTTCAGTACGAGTACAAGCAAATTTCGTAACTCTGTCTCCTATAAGACGAGATCCCCATATTTTGGATAAAGTAACAGGCGTGGTCACAGATTTTTTACCTAACTTTACTAACCTACTAATTTATTTTTGCTTTTCTTACTAATTTCTAAGTTAATTTAGTTAACCTATAAAACATTTTTTAAATTTTTAACATTCTTTTCTGATTTATAAAATTTAAAATAAAAAGTCGTTGCTTGAAAAAACCAGGACACTGCGAAAATATGTTTCTGGAAAGATGCAAAAAATTGCCTATACATATCTCATGGCAACATATTGCTATACCTAAAGTATCTATTTTTGAAGATTTTTTTCTAATTTTTTTTCCAAAAGCAAGTGAATATTTCTCTTCACAGAACTTCTGTGACACTTTTCTCTATGAAGGTTAATAAAAAAATTTATTTAAAAAAATTTTTTATTTCTCTATAGGGCCCTCCCAATCAAGATTCTTCAATGCAATTTGAACTTCGTTTGGTTAGTGCCAAACAAGGTGGACTTAAATTTATTTTTAAGATGATTCTTTCAATAGTTCAAGTATACTCCTCTGTGACACTTTTCTCTTATGAAGATCTCTCTTTTAAAAAGCCTTCCTATAAAACTCTTTAATAGGCGTCTTATTAAGCCTAAAAATGTAGGTGGTGGGTCGGATAGCTCTCATGATCAAGTCCCATCCATCCCATCCAATTCTTTATTATTTTCTGGGATGGGCTTTGCTGCTTTACTTTAGAATGAATGTGGCTTTTTTCAAATCCTAATCTGAATTTAATACTTAATATCATGTCTTTATGCCACTCAATTTGAAAAATATGTCATCCGAAAGAAGTTAAATACCCATACTTTTTAAATTATATATTTTAGGCTCTGATTCAGTTACTCCCGCAATACGAGCAAATTTTTTGCTTCAAAAGGGTTTGCTTGGAGTTTATTTATTTTACTTATTTTCACTATATTTTAAAGGAGAGGATCACAATTCGGCAATAATTGCATTAAGAGATTCGTTGGATGGTCCTCAAGAAGTTCATTTAGAATTAACCCTTCGGTTAACAACTAATGGGCAATTTAATGGAAAATATGTTGCTAATTTGCTTGTAAAATTTTTTTAATTTAGAAAATAAATAATTTGGATTAAAATAAGTCAATCCTCATCTTTGATAGGACCTTGAAGCCGAAACCCTAACGTAAAAGTAGGGTTTCCTTACTTAAGGCGTATCTCTTAGGTAGCCCTATCCACCTAGTAGCCATCTACAATTTTTAAATAAGGGTGTATCTGGTATCGTGGCTCTCTAAAAAAGGAGTTCCTCCCGTATTTTGATTAATTTTAAAATTTAAATAAATTACAAAAATTAATTTAGGTCTTTGTTTCACAATATCGTCCCCAAACACAACATAGCCGTTTACACAGAATCCGTAGACTTTGAATATTGGAAAAAAAGTTGGAAAAAATTTTAGATCTCGTTTTTTTAATATTTTAAGTTTAGTTAACATTCCTTTGTTTTTTGTGCTGTTTTAAATATTTGTGTGTTATTAATTAATAACTAATCTTTTAATATAGTAAATAAAATGCTAGCTTTTTTTTAAACTGTATAAATTTTATTAACATAAGATAACAATAACAAACTTTACTCTAATTAAAAAGAAGGCTCCCTTTGTTTTTATGATTTAAGAATATTCTGGTTTTAAGCCATGATAGGACAGAATCAGAAAGACTTAAGGTTATTCCTAAATACAAGTCTATTCTACACACTTAAGTTTATTTTACAGACTTAAGTTTAATTTACAGAATAGACTTAAGTTTATTACAAATAAACTTGTTTATTTACAAACTTAAGTTTCCTAATAAATTCCCAAAGTCACACCAAAACTTTGGTAAGGATAAGTAAAAATAATATTTAAAAATTTTCAAAATTAATTTAAAAATAATTTAAGTCAAGTAGAAGATGGCTATTCTTGTATAAAAAATTGTCATCCCAATGATGCTATCTGCCTTAGCAATTATACAAGGGAGATTCTCTACCAATTTAGAACTGTCCCGTCAATGAAATTTTTGAAAAAGCCGATTGAGGTAATTAAATAAATGAAAAAATTATCAAATGATTTAATAGATATCTCGAATAACAACAAAAATAAATAATATAGTATTTAATATTGAATATATAATTAATGGAGAAAATGCCAAAGATTTTTTTGTTGAACAACAAGGAAATGTTGGTAAGAATTTTAAGTTTTTACAACAAGTTTATTAAAATTCAAGTTTATTAAACTTAGGTTTATTTTTATAGACTTAAGGTTATAAATTACTTTTTAATAAACTTAAGTTTAAGTTTATTCTACAGACTTAAGTTTAAGCTTATTTTTACAAACTTAAGTTTATTTTTAAAATATGAACTTAAAAACTTAAGTTATTTATAAAACAGGATTATTTTTTAAGTTTGTTTAAAAATATTTTTACAAACTTAAGTTTAGGTCTATCCTTACAAACTTAAAACTAGGTTTATTTTTACAGACTTGAGTATATTTTTAAAACTTGAGTTTATTTACTTAAGTTTGATCTTTCAGAATTAAATCTAAGTTTATTTCTAAAACTCGAGTTTATTAAATTAAGTTTATTGCCGAAAAATATTACTTAACAATTTATTAATTTTTAAGGTATTCTCTACCTTTCAAAACCTATAAAGGGACCTCGTACGGAGAAGATACAACTAAACATAAATGTAATGTCAAGAAAAGGTGTTTCTATTGCCCACAACTTAGCATTAATTCAAATTTATGTATCGAGATGGAATTTTTAAAATGATAAAATTTTGTGTATCTTAATCTTGATTATTTTAAATTTTTTAACAACCTTCTGAAATCCGTAACTTATCAAAAACAAAATGATTTACTCAACTATACCACCATCTACTCGTTTTCCTCTTTACTTTATTTCGAAGAAATTTCTCAGGCCTTACAATCTTTCACAGCCAGAAATTAAACACATTTATTTTGAAACACCTTAAATTTATTTTTGCAAATATAAGATTCTTTCCGGAAAAGCTAAAAATCGTTCCGGAAAACATTTCCGGAAAAGCTAAAAATCGTTCCGGAAAACATTTCGGAAAATCTAAAAATTGTTCCGGAAAACATTTCCGGAAAAGCTAAAAATCGTTCCGGAAAACATTTCCGGAAAAGCTAAAAATCGTTCCGGAAAACATTTCGGAAAATCTAAAAATTGTTCCGGAAAACATTTCCGGAAAAGCTAAAAATCGTTCCGGAAAACATTTCCGGAAAAGCTAAAAATCGTTCCGGAAAACATTTCGGAAAATCTAAAAATTGTTCCGGAAAACATTTCCGGAAAAGCTAAAAATCGTTCCGGAAAACATTTCCGGAAAAGCTAAAAATCGTTCCGGAAAACATTTCGGAAAATCTAAAAATTGTTCCGGAAAACATTTCCGGAAAATGCTAAAAATCGTTCCGGAAAACATTTCCGGAAAAGCTAAAAATCGTTCCGGAAAACATTTCCGGAAAAGCTAAAAATCGTTCCGGAAAACATTTCCGGAAAATGCAAAAATTGTTCCGGAAAACATTTCCGGAAACTGCTAAAAATTGTTCCGGAAAACATTTCCGGAAAATGCTAAAAATTGTTCCGGAAAACATTTCCGGAAAATGCTAAAAATTGTTCCGGAAAGCATTTCCGGAAACTGCTAAAAATTGTTCCGGAAAACATTTCCGGAAAATGCTAAAAATTGTTCCGGAAAGCATTTCCGGAAACTGCTAAAAATCGTTCCGGAAAACATTTCCGGAAAATGCAAAAATTGTTCCGGAAAACATTTCCGGAAACTGCTAAAAATTGTTCCGGAAAACATTTCCGGAAAATGCTAAAAATTGTTCCGGAAAGCATTTCCGGAAACTGCTAAAAATCGTTCCGGAAAACATTTCCGGAAAATGCAAAAATTGTTCCGGAAAACATTTCCGGAAAATGCTAAAAATTGTTCCGGAAAGCATTTCCGGAAACTGCTAAAAATCGTTCCGGAAAACATTTCCGGAAAATGCAAAAATTGTTCCGGAAAACATTTCCGGAAAATGCTAAAAATTGTTCCGGAAAACATTTCCGGAAAATGCTAAAAATTGTTCCGGAAAACATTTCGGAAAATCTAAAAATTGTTCCGGAAAATATTTCCGGAAACTGCTAAAAATCGTTCCGGAAAACATTTCCGGAAAAACCCTATTTGTTTTTAAACAATGTTTTTTATGAGAAATAAATTTTGTTGTTATTATTTTTGTTGTAAGTTTGTATACCATGGATATGGTAATCAAAATACGGTAATTAAAAATAATTTAATTTATTTAAGGGTCTTCGTTATCCGGAAAAATTTCCGGAAAATGCAGAAAAATAGTTTCAGTAAAAAATTTTCGGAAAATCGAAAAAAATTTTTCCGGAATTTCGGAATGGTTTCAGGAATAAATTACCGGAAAATTCTAAAACTTTAAATTAATCGAAGTTAGCTCTAATAACTTTATACATACACAAATCATGCGCAAACAATTTTGTATTTTCAAAAAAATCTTAATCTTAGAAATTCTTATTGTTTATACATAAAATATGTTTTTCCAAAATTCACTTTTGCAGCAGCATTAGAACCAGATAAGCTAATTGTTGGAAAAACTCCATTGAACACGTTAACATATTGCTTAACGCCTATAATTTTCAAAGTTAAATTTTATACATTTTTATATGTATTAAAACTAACCAATAAAAGTAGAATTTCTTGTAAAATAAATAAAATGCTTTTTGGTAATTTCATCAAACTGCAGACCACAACCAACTGTGTCACCAATTGTAAACCCAATTAAATCAAAATTCTTAAATTTACTTGCCGCTGACCAATAGGTACCCTTATTAGAAAATCCATAGCTCTTTGGAGCCTGTCCCACCGCATCATTTGAATTGAAATCAAACTCCTTCGTTGAAAGGCCTATACCTGCAGATCTATAATTTAAAATTATTATTAAAAATGAGCAAAATTAATGTTAATAAAATTTAAAATCTCTGAAAATTTTCAATCAAAGAAAAAATTTCAGTTTTCTTAGCGTTTGGATCCTAATAATTACTAAGATATCATTTCAAGTCAAATCTGAAAAACTCCAAATCGACATTCTGAAGGGAACTTCAAACAATTTTTAGGGACTAGTTGGGGAAATAATTGAGTAAATATATTTAAGAAATTTCAAACAATTTCAAACTCACTTGAAGTTTGTAAATTCAACTTCAAAATACATCCCATTTTCTTTTGATAATGGTTTTTCGGCTCCAAAAGTCATCATATTGCTAAAACCTTAAATTAAAAATTTCGGTAAATTTAGACAAACTCTTAAGATACCTTTAATATAAACAGTTGTTCCGTCACCCGTTAAATTAACATTTTTCAAAAATTTGTGAAGATGTAATTTGTTTGTTAATTTGTCCTCTTTTTCTTTCATCAATAACTTCAAAGATTCTTCTATTTTTGAAGCATAATTATGGAGATTTTTGCCACTCTTCTCAATGGCACTTGCTTCTTCTTTAACATTTTTAATATATCCTTGAAGAAGGTTTACAGTCTAAAAAATATTTGAAATTTATTTTAAAATATTATTCTAAACATACCTTCTTGAACCCCGTCTCATCAATACGTTTTTCAGCCATGTTCTTTTAAATTTGTTTTTGAAATAATTTAAAATAAAGTTGCAAGGATGCCAATGCCGCTTTATTTGTTTTGGCGTCAATTCATGAATAAGCTCACTTGGATCGCAAATTTTGAACTTCCCAAAGAGGACTACCTCAACTTGGCAGGCTTTTCGCAATAATAAGTCAAAAAAGAAAACAAGGTGTTTTACAGCACGTCTAAAGCCTTGGCCAAATATCAACGGTGTTTATTCCTTAATGAGACTTGACGATCTTCGTGTCAGAAATCCAGAAGATGGTTTATCATCATCATTTAATCCTTCATTTTCACAATCAGTTCCATTACTTTTGTTCATTTCCTCTTTTTGTTGCTTTTATTGTTGTTCTTCCTTTCCTCATTGTTTGACATACAAGTAGACGATAATCGAAGAATAAGTTGTTTAGAAACTGTTCCTGGCCACCTAATATTTAAAAAGAGTTAGTTAATTATCAAGTTTTTTAAGCTTGTAAACTTAAGTTTCTCTCAAAATTTATTTTACTTTATTAAGTTTGTCTTTCAAGTTCAAACTTGAATATTTTTCAAGTCTGTAAACTTAAGTTTACGTTCAAGTTTATTTTAACAAATCTACCTTTTCTTCAGAGACTGCATCAGAGAAATACATTTCCGACGAATTGGACGACAGTTCGTTTGTTGCCATAAAATACTCATCTTGTGAAGACTCATCTTGTGAAGTCCAAATAAGACGAATAAGAAACACATTCGGAGCAAGAAGAATGATCTAGAAATCGAACAAGTTTTCGATTTAATCAGCTTACAAACACACCATAACTATCCCAGCTACAAGTAGAAAGAGCCATCCTCCTCTTCGTCACAAGATGAGACACGTCTGCATCGTTTGAAGAACTACTTGAATAGTTGTTGTTTGTCCCGTCCTCTTTGTCCTCGTATTCACCTAAAAAGTGTTTTAAGTTATCAGTCAGAGGTTTTAAAATCTGTTCCGTACCATAAGAATTGTCGTCCTCCAAATTCACCAAATTGGGCAAGTCTCCACAAGATTTGGTTTGCCGAACAGCAGACGATCTGCGTACATTACTGACAGCTTGCTTCATACGGGGACCTAGACAGGACTGCTTACACTCAAGAGCAGTAGTTACTTCTTTCTCCTCTCTCTTCGTTTGTATTCAGAACAGATACACCATCTTCTGGATTTCTCACACGAAGATCATCAAGTCGCATTAAAAAATAAACACTGTTGATATTGGCCAATGTTTTTGACGTGCTGTAAAACACCTTGTTTTCTTTTTTGCCTATTAATGCGAGCAGTTTGCTAAGTTGAGGTAGTCCCTATTGAGAAGTTCAAAATGAGCGATCCAATTGAGCATATTCATGCATTGACGGCAAAACAAATAAACGGCGTTGGCAGACTTGCAGTTAAAGAAGCTTACCTAAACAATTTAATTTAATTAAGCAATAAACAAATGAGAGAATACTTAAAGTTCAAGGTTTTTATAGTATTCCGAAAACTTAAGTCCGTGAAAATGAACAAGCTTAAGTTTGATAAAACAAACTTTAAGTTTGTAGAGTATGTAAAATGAACTTAAGTTTGTAAAATACTTTTTAAAACTTAAGTCTGTAAAAATAAACTTTAATTTAAGTTTGTAAAGTTGCAAAATACTTTTTAAGACTTAAGTCTGTAAAAATAAACTTTAATTTAAGTTAGTAAAAATACTAAAGTTTGTAAAATTATTTTTAGCTAACTTAAGTTTGTAAAATAAACTTTGTAATAATTTTAATCTTAAAACCAAAAGGAGCTTTCTTTCTAAACATGCAAAGTTGACATAAATTTCAATAAAAAACTAATTTTAAGTAAACTTCGATTTAAATTAGGATAAAGATAAAACCAGACAGAAATGAATATATTATCTATAAACTTAAGTTTGTTGAAAACTGACTTCACAAAACTTAATTTTATTATTTACACACCTCTCAATTAAAACAAAATTATTATTTATTAATTAAGGCAAGCTTCCTAGAGATGAATATTTGCTAAAATCCCAACAAATATTTAAGAACATTTTAAAAACAATTAGAGACATATCCAATGCCAGATAAACCTCCTTAAAAGGCGATTTTATTTTATCTTGTGACGTGATTTATATTATAATGAGGAATATTGCTTAGACAGCTCCTTCACATTGTGACCGCAGTTCACATTTACTCATTTAATTCTTACATTTAGTAGGTCTGTCTATGTATTAGATTTCAGCGTGTTCAGCAGCAACAACAACAATTTAATTTTAAACAAGTAGTAACCCCCACCCTTTTGTCCCAGTTGTGAGGTGGAAATTTTATGGGTGTATTTCTCCCCACAACCATCTGGCCCATTTGAGAAGTAAATTTCCAACGTGTCCCGATTATAAGGTGCAAAATTTTATTGGTTGCATTTCCCCTACACTCAACTACCCCAATCTAGTAGTAATCCCCCTTTTGTATTGAGGGATGTGTCGGCAAATCAAAGACCACCCTTTTGTCTCACCCTTTTGGCTCATTTAATTTTCCCGCACCACCCTTTTGTCCCAGTTGTGAAGTGGGACAATTTGTACGTGTTACCACCACCATGCCCCAATTGAGAAGTAAATTTTCAACTTGTCTCAGTTGATAATTTTATTTTGTGAATTGTCCGACACCCAACTGTCCCAGTTGAGAATTAAGTTTCCAAAATGTCCCACAACATAACCCACTTGTGAGGTAAAATATTTTATGGGTGTATTTCTCCTACACTCACCTACCCCAATCTAGTAGTAAACCCACCCCAAACGTTACAAACGTTACACCCCATTTGATCACCTGTCAATCAAACCTGTGGCTATAGGGGGTATTTTCCTTTTGATCTTTGCCGCAAACCCTTTGTTTTTGGAAGGGTTTGAGGGTAATTAATCATGATTAATTTGGTAATTAATCATTGATGATTAATTGCTTTTTGGTTGATTTTTTGTGGGAAGTGACAGGTTTGATGTTTGTGGTTTCTGGGTGGTCGGTTGCAACATTTGGAGGGTAAAATAAAAATTTTTAAATTATCTTTTGAAAGTGCGGTAAAATAAAAGAAGTCAAAAGGTTTTGGTGGGATGTGAAAATGAGGTAAAATCATAAAGAAATGAATTTTTTTGGATCGTTATATATTTTTGATTAATAATAAAACCCCTTTATAACATTTTAAAAAATAAAAACCCCAAGCGGAATCGAACCTTCACCGTCGTGTTTTTTCGTATGCGGGAACCTTATCCATTCGGCCAAAGGGGTGTACTTAAATTTAATAAAATAATCGGATAAATTGTAAAAATTAATTTCTCTGTGCATTTTGGGGGATGGGGTGGAGGATTTTAAAAAGTTTAAAAATTTCGTAATTAAAATTTTAAAAAATTTAAAATTAAAATGTGAATTCTTGAAAATAATTAAAAAATTAAATTAAATAAAAATATAATAAAAATTATTACAAAATTTTGACAAAAATAAAACGGACTTAAAAATGAGCGGAATTTTAAATTTAAGGGGATTTATTTCAAAATGCCAAATTTCACAACTGGCGGGAATTCAAATTTCAAAATTGGCGGGGATGCAAAATTTAAAATATGGTGGCACTTACAAATTTAAAAAAATTTAAAATTAATTTTAAATTTAAATAAAATATTTTATTAATTTAATAAAAATGTGGGACGAATTAAAATTTACAAAAATTTGAAAAAAAATAAAATGATTTTAAAAAATGACCGGAATTTCATATGTAAGGGGATATATGAATTATAAAGAAAACAAATTTAAAAAATCTAATATAATGTTAATGAGTTCTAAAGTAAATATTATTGATCTCTAACACATCTCTCCAACTTATCAAATATTTTGTATTTTGTTCATACGTCTAAAATTTGGAGTATAAAAGGCAAGATTTTTCATATTTTTAATCATTTGCTATAAAAACAAAAATATTTAACATTCTTATAATGTCTTTTAATAACGAAGAAAACGGACCTTCTCCCAATAAACGCCCAAGATTCCTCATCCGGAATCTCCTTCCTCGCTTATTCAATGACATACAAAGCGGTGCGGGGACGACAAATTTAAAAAATTATTACCGCCAAATCGATTATGAAACTCAGTTTAACAGAAAATTTAAAATGATGGGAACAACTGGAAAGTTTATTATTGAAAAATTACCGGACAATCCGGAGGAATTATTAAGAAAAATAATACAAGACTGCATGGATCAAACCGTAGAGGAATCAAAGAAACAGGCAATTAATCCTGACCGACTAGGCGCAATAATTTCTTCACAGTTACTTGATAATGATATTTGGATACCAATTAGAAAGCTAGAAAAAGATACAACAGACAACATATTAACAAGATTTCAACTTGTTTCACAATCTAAGATAGAAAGGGGATCACTTCATGGTCACCCCTTCGCAATAAAAATCCAGACGCTGGGTATTTCATCACTTCCAACACACCAGTCGATTAGAGGACGTGCACCACAAGACAATGCAACTGATGGTTTTAAACTAAAAGACGAATTATTTATTAAAATAGCTAATCAGAACAACTTATGCTTATTCTATGCTTTGGAAATTACTAAAAAATATGTCATTAAAGAATTGGGAGATAGAAGAAAATTTAATAAATATATGCAATACAATCATCGGCAGATGAGAGATGTTTTCGATCTTTTAAGAGCTGCAAAAATTCCTAACGATCTCTCTGAATATGATGCCATGGAGTACGTGCCAGTTGTTGTAGATTTTTGGAATAATCAATATAAGGATAAAGGATATAAATTCAAAGTATTCGTTTTCGGAAATGCCAATGAAAAACCTATATTCAAATATGGAAATGAAAATTTCAATGTTCCGATTTCCATTTTTCACTCAACTAACCATTTTGATGGATTAAGAAATGTTGGAGGACTGTTTGGTTTTAAACAAAAATATTGCTTTACATGTGAGAAAAAATTCAGAAAATCAACGGAGCATGACCTGAGATGTAAATCCCTCTGCAGATTATGTGGACGCATTGGAAGTGAACGTCCTTGCTTGGCAACAGCAAACTATTTCAAAAAATGTGATGATTGTGGGAAAAAGTATTTGAATGAAGACTGTTTTAACCATCATAAAAAAAGCAGCAATTGTCGGCAAACAAGAATCTGTGAAAAGTGCGGGGTGATATGGACAATCAAAAATTATAAAAGAGAGGAGCAAAAGAATCACGTATGTGGACAAAAATGGTGTAAAATTTGTCGGCAATTTCATAGTATTGATAGAGGATGCTTTATTCGTCCATTGGAACATAAAAAATCAATACCGTACCGTCTAGTAACATTCGATTTTGAAGCAACACAAAATGAAAAGATAAGGAATACAAATGAAGAAAGACGGCTCCACAAAGTAAATTTCATTGCCGCCACAGTAACATGTACAAGATGCATGGAAGACGGAAAAATATGGCGTTCACCCTTGAAACAAAATGGAAAGAGTTGCATAATCTGTGGAAACAATCGCTCAATAACATTCTCACATCGTCCATACTCTCAAACAAAAGTTGATAAACAAGTTGTTACACAAACACCACTCAGAGAATTTATTCAATGGATTCTTTTTGAACTCAACTCTCAATATACAACAATGGCATTTTCACACAATGGGGGGCGTTATGACATGGTGATGGTATTCAGAGAAATATACTTGAAAGGAGTTGTTCCGTCAATGATTCGTCGTGGTAATAAGCTTTATGAATTGAAAATTCCCCGCAACAATAAATGCAATGAAGTTATATTTCGAGACTCGTATAATCTCTGTCCAGTCGCATTGGGAAAGCTAATTGGGGCATTTGGACTGCAAGTAACTGAAAAACAATTTTTTCCACATTTGGCAAACATCTCTGAAAATTATGGGAGAACACTACAACAACTACCTCCAAAATCTGATTATTTATATGAAGGAATGCGACCAGAAAAACAGAATGAATTCGATAACTGGTATGAAGAAGAGAAAAGTCAGCAGTTTTGTTTGGACGAAGCATTGGCCGAATATTGCACAAACGATGTTCAGATTCTTACAGAAGCACTGATTGCTTTTAGAAAAAAATTTATGGAAATTAGCAAAAGGAAAAATACAAAACCTCAAGCATCGCAAGAAGGAATTGATATATTACGAGATGCAATGACTATAGCATCAGCCTGTATGAAACACTTTCGACTTAATCATCTGAAACCTGAACATTTGGCAATTGTTCCAGAAAAAGGGTATGAAACATGTGATAATCAAAGCGAACTTGCACTGAAATATTTACAATGGTACGAAGAGACACGAGGAGTTCATATGCAAAGTGCACATTCAGAAGGTGGAGAATATGTTGTAGCGGGGAGATACAAAGTTGATGGATATATTAAAGAAGAGGATAGGGCAATTGAGGTAAATGGATGTGTTTGGCATGCATGTGAAAAATGCTTCGGAAATGACTTGAACAAAATTTTACCAAACGGAAAAACAGTGGGAGAAATACGTGAAGATGATGGAAATCGTTTGGAAATTATACGAAAATATATAAAAAATGTTGATATAATATGGGAATGTGATATACATAAGATGCTTCGAAGAAACAAAAATATGCGAAAATCATTTGCAAATTATCATGACAAAGGTCCAATAAAAATTAGAGACTGCTATTTCGGTGGAAGGACAGGACCTTTACAAATGTACTTTGACGCTGACGCAGAACAACATAAAATGGTTTATTTAGACTTTAATTCGCTGTATCCATCAACAATTGCTACAACATCATTCCCGGTTGGGCATCCGAAAATTCATGTTGTACCTTTGGCAGAACAGAATGTTAATTGGAAGAGTGGAGACCAAATTCCATTCAAAGGAATTTTGAAAGTATTTTTAGTACCGCCATCATCATTGAATGTTCCTGTTATTCCAGTCAAATTTGATGAAAGATTACTTTTTCCTCTCTGCAGAAAATGCGCACTTGCCTACCCGAATGGAGCAAACATAAAAAAATACCAATGTCCTCACAATGATGAAGAGAGAGGGTGGGTCTCAACATGTACTTCAATAGAATTAGAAGAAGCTTTAAAAGTTGGTTATACAGTTACAAAATTCTATAGAGCACTTCATTATGAAAAATGGGATGAAAATTTATTTAAAAATTATGTGGCAGAATTTATGGCAATGAAGATTCATGCGAGTGGTTTCCCTGAAGGTATAGAAGGAAAAGAAAATGAGGATACATTTATTAAAGAATGTAAAGACAAATTTGGAATTGAGATAGAAAGAGAGAAAATGGTTCCAGACCAGGCTATGCGCTACATATCAAAATTAATGCTTAATTCTCTATGGGGAAGGTTCAGTTTAAGAAATGGGCAATCAAGAAGTGTAGTCATTGACTCACCCACTGAACTTATCGAATATGACAAAAATAACTCAATTGAGATACAATCTATTGATAATTTAACTGAAGAAACAATTTTACTAACTTACAAACAAAAAGAAGAATTTATTATCGAACATGATACATCAAATATGGTGGTATCCTTATGGACAACATCAGCAGCAAGAATAAAACTATTGAAAGCTATGCAAAAGGTAGCAAAAGCAGAGGGTTGCAATATTCTCTATGGAGACACAGACAGTATACTATTTTCCCATCCAAGGGATATGGAATGCCCTCTTAAAACAGGTCCCTATCTAGGTGATTTGGCAAAGGAATATGCAGGCTCTGAAATAAAAGAATATGTTGGAGGGGCGTGCAAGGCTTACGCACTGAGAATGGAAAGCAACAAAAATGCCAAAATTAGTAGTGTTCTGAAAGTACGTGGCATCACTTTAACGGCTGATGTCTGCAAAATCTTGCATTTTGACAGTTTTAAGGAAAGTGTACTAAATTATGCAAATGGAGGAGGCGACAATGAGGAAGATAATGAGCTGGATAAGCGATCAATTATGATTGAAAACCCAAACTTTATACGCCGTAGCGTGAAGGAAGGGATGGTTTACTCAACTAAAATGAGAAAAATATTCAGACCAATAATACAAAAAGGAATAATTTCTAATGACCTCAAAATTGTACATTTCGGGCAAAAATAATTTTTCCAAATGTATAGTAATATTTCATAATATTTTTCAGTTGTACTTTAATATTTTCACAATGTTATTAAATTGTATTTTGCTATTAAACAGCATTTTATTAATTTAATTCAAATTTGCTGATAAAATTGTGATATTATTAAAATTTTTAATTTAATTTTAGGGGTAAAAGATAAGTTTAATAAAAAGTTAAGGTTTATAAGATAAAATTGATGTAAAGTTAAGGACTAGAGGATAGATTGATGTTAAAAATGATTTAAATTTGAGAGAAATATCAATATTTCCAGAAAAAATTTTAAAATGCTAGAGGAGAGGTACTCGTGTTTATGTGGTGTTTGAGGTTATCACTGTGTGCGCACACTATAAACATGCAAATACGCACACACACATATACACTATTTTGCTGTAAATTTAAGTTAAATTTGCAATAATGTTAAGATTGGTAGGATAAAATTGAAGCAAAGTTAAGGATTATGCGATACAATTCGTGCAAAGTTAAGAGATAGAAGATACAATTCACACAAAGTTAAGCAACGCAAGACACAATTGTTGCAGAGTTAAGGAGTAGAAGATAAAATTGATGGAAAGTTAAGGGTTAGAAGATAATAATGATGCAAAGTTAAGCTTTGTGGCACACTATTCTGATGTAAAGTTAAGAATTTAGGATAATTTGCTGTAAAATTTCTAGTTGTACACTTTGAATAGATGTATTGTATACAAGGTTTACTGTATTCATTCATTTGTTTACAAAGGTGTACTGTACACATTTCATTATACATTTATGTGCACTCAAGCTCAGTATAAAAAAAAATTCCCAATGATCATTAGTTTTCCTAACCTACTCTTTGATATTACTGCCATTTTCTTTCAATATCTACATATAACGGGAAACCCCCCCCCCCCCCCAGACCTTCAGAGAATGCTTTGAAAACCTTTAGAATTACAATTTACCTAAAGTTAAGCATTAGAAAATAATTTGATGCAAAATTTTCAAAATGTCAATGAAAAAATCCAACTTGAAAAACATCAAACGACAAAATGCCAAATTTCAAAAAGTCAAACGAAAAAATGTCAACTTAGCATGTTAAAGCATGCGCATGGGGTGCACGTGTGTGACAATACTGATGTGCGTACGCACACTTTATTCTTGGTCAAACTCTATTCTTGGTCAAATTCTTGGTCAAATGGATAGAAGATACAATCCATGCAAAGTTAAGCATTAGAAGTTAAAATTAATGCAAAGTTAAGCATTAGAAGATATAATTGATGCAAAGTTAATGGATAGAAGATACAATCCATGCAAAGTTAAGTAACGGAGGATGCAGATTTTAGGGGTAAAAGTGCAAAGCTAAGCGTCAGAAGATACATTTTTTGTAAAGTTAAGCATAAGAAGATACAATCTATGTAAAGTTAAACATTAGAAGATACATTTGATGTAAAGTTAAGAAAAATAATACAAATTTTGAGTAAAACTACGCATTTTGATAAAACTACTCGAGGCATATTGAGGCATATGCTTGTGTTGAGACATATGTATGTTATGCACGTGAGTGACCTGTCTAAACTGATGAAAACACGCAATGCAAACAGACTTTCTAGTGTAAAGTTAAGAATTATATATAAATTTGTTGTAAAGTTAAGTGTTGGATAAGACAATTGTTGTAAAGTTAAACATTAGAAGATACAATTGTTAAAATGTTAAGGGATATTTGGATCAAATTGATATAAAGTTAAAAGAAATATTACATTCTGAATAAAAGTATGCAAAAATTATGGTACACAATTTTTAATACACCCTTGTATGGAGTGTGCGTGTCTCTATAATCGTTTGGTTTTTTACTAAATATGTCAAAATTTCACTCATAATTAGTATCAATAGAATTTATTTCCTACACTTCAGGATCCTTTTGATTCCCAGACCTTCAGGTTTTCTTTTAAAACCTTTAGAATTCAAAAAGTACAAAAAGGAATTATATCCAATAGCCTCAAAATTGTCAAATGTGTCCAATTGTACAATTTTGAGGCTATTGGATATAATTCCTTTTTGTACTTTTTGAATTCTAAAGGTTTTAAAAGAAAACCTGAAGGTCTGGGAATCAAAAGGATCCTGAAGTGTAGGAAATAAATTCTATTGATACTAATTATGAGTGAAATTTTGACATATTTAGTAAAAAACCAAACGATTATAGAGACACGCACACTCCATACAAGGGTGTATTAAAAATTGTGTACCATAATTTTTGCATACTTTTATTCAGAATGTAATATTTCTTTTAACTTTATATCAATTTGATCCAAATATCCCTTAACATTTTAACAATTGTATCTTCTAATGTTTAACTTTACAACAATTGTCTTATCCAACACTTAACTTTACAACAAATTTATATATAATTCTTAACTTTACACTAGAAAGTCTGTTTGCATTGCGTGTTTTCATCAGTTTAGACAGGTCACTCACGTGCATAACATACATATGTCTCAACACAAGCATATGCCTCAATATGCCTCGAGTAGTTTTATCAAAATGCGTAGTTTTACTCAAAATTTGTATTATTTTTCTTAACTTTACATCAAATGTATCTTCTAATGTTTAACTTTACATAGATTGTATCTTCTTATGCTTAACTTTACAAAAAATGTATCTTCTGACGCTTAGCTTTGCACTTTTACCCCTAAAATCTGCATCCTCCGTTACTTAACTTTGCATGGATTGTATCTTCTATCCATTAACTTTGCATCAATTATATCTTCTAATGCTTAACTTTGCATTAATTTTAACTTCTAATGCTTAACTTTGCATGGATTGTATCTTCTATCCATTTGACCAAGAATTTGACCAAGAATAGAGTTTGACCAAGAATAGAGTGTGCGTACGCACATCAGTATTGTCACACACGTGCACCCCATGCGCATGCTTTAACATGCTAAGTTGACATTTTTTCGTTTGACTTTTTGAAATTTGGCATTTTGTCGTTTGATGTTTTTCAAGTTGGATTTTTTCATTGACATTTTGAAAATTTTGCATCAAATTATTTTCTAATGCTTAACTTTAGGTAAATTGTAATTCTAAAGGTTTTCAAAGCATTCTCTGAAGGTCTGGGGGGGGGTTTCCCGTTATATGTAGATATTGAAAGAAAATGGCAGTAATATCAAAGAGTAGGTTAGGAAAACTAATGATCATTGGGAATTTTTTTTTATACTGAGCTTGAGTGCACATAAATGTATAATGAAATGTGTACAGTACACCTTTGTAAACAAATGAATGAATACAGTAAACCTTGTATACAATACATCTATTCAAAGTGTACAACTAGAAATTTTACAGCAAATTATCCTAAATTCTTAACTTTACATCAGAATAGTGTGCCACAAAGCTTAACTTTGCATCATTATTATCTTCTAACCCTTAACTTTCCATCAATTTTATCTTCTACTCCTTAACTCTGCAACAATTGTGTCTTGCGTTGCTTAACTTTGTGTGAATTGTATCTTCTATCTCTTAACTTTGCACGAATTGTATCGCATAATCCTTAACTTTGCTTCAATTTTATCCTACCAATCTTAACATTATTGCAAATTTAACTTAAATTTACAGCAAAATAGTGTATATGTGTGTGTGCGTATTTGCATGTTTATAGTGTGCGCACACAGTGATAACCTCAAACACCACATAAACACGAGTACCTCTCCTCTAGCATTTTAAAATTTTTTCTGGAAATATTGATATTTCTCTCAAATTTAAATCATTTTTAACATCAATCTATCCTCTAGTCCTTAACTTTACATCAATTTTATCTTATAAACCTTAACTTTTTATTAAACTTATCTTTTACCCCTAAAATTAAATTAAAAATTTTAATAATATCACAATTTTATCAGCAAATTTGAATTAAATTAATAAAATGCTGTTTAATAGCAAAATACAATTTAATAACATTGTGAAAATATTAAAGTACAACTGAAAAATATTATGAAATATTACTATACATTTGGAAAAATTATTTTTGCCCGAAATGTACAATTTTGAGGTCATTAGAAATTATTCCTTTTTGTATTATTGGTCTGAATATTTTTCTCATTTTAGTTGAGTAAACCATCCCTTCCTTCACGCTACGGCGTATAAAGTTTGGGTTTTCAATCATAATTGATCGCTTATCCAGCTCATTATCTTCCTCATTGTCGCCTCCTCCATTTGCATAATTTAGTACACTTTCCTTAAAACTGTCAAAATGCAAGATTTTGCAGACATCAGCCGTTAAAGTGATGCCACGTA